GCCTCCATCCCGCCGATCTCTCCTCGCTACCATGGTCGTGGTTTGATCCCGCCGCTACCAGCTTTGACGAGCCATGGTCGTGGAGCACTCTGCTCAAGCCTCCCTATTTGGTCACGAATTGATTGGTTCTGTGACTTCAGTCGACTTGGATTGGCCCAAGATTGCTGTGGCTTGGTACTTCGATTCTGTCCAAGTAAGGCAAGGGCAAAGTGGGAAATGCTGTTGCGGAAAAATGGGAAGAGAAGATGAAAGAAACACAGTTGGGGAAGAATTGGGGAAATAGGTGAAGTGACATTTTTGTGTGGCACAATCCTGATTTCGAGAAACTAGGTGGCATTCTTCTGATTGCTGCTATGTTTTGAAGTGGCATAGGTTGAAATCTTGCCCTTTTTTTTTATCATAGCATGAATGCATGATGTACTTCCGTGACGTCTGTGATAATCATGCTTAAGATTATGTAGTGTTACGACTCAAAAAAAATTAGTGTTGATATTTTTCATGTTGATACTTAGTTACTTATTGCTATGATAATTTTTCCATTAGCTTTTCATAAATGTCTTATGCACTCGGACCGCTTAAGACTATGTAGTGTTGTTATTTTCCTGTTGATACTTAGTTACTTATTACTTCCAGAGGAGGCTTAAAAATATGCTAGTGATGATATTTCAATGTTGTACTTATTTAGTCCTTTCACAGGTTATTAGAACATTTAGGGAGAAAGGCATTCCTTGTGATGTGGTTTGGATGGATATTGACTACATGGACGGTTTTAGATGCTTCACATTTGACAATGTAAGTACCTTTCTATGATAGTTGCTACATGAAAATAGCATGCTTAAAATGTATACTGCTTCAAAGTGCCATACAGAGCCTCCCTTTTTTCCTGACTATTATTGTCTAGCAAAACCCGTCTATTTTAGACGAATTCCATAGTCTACACAAGTGTCATTCTAAGTGATTCGGGACAAGTTTCTTCCACGGCCAATGATTATGTCTGAACTTGATATGTTACAGAACTGTTTCGCTGATCCAAAATCTATGGTTGATGATCTACATTCCATCGGTTGTAAATCAATCTGGATGCTTGACCCGGGAATAAAGGAAGAGAAGGGTTACTTTGTGTATGATAGTGGTTCAGAAAATGATGTGTGGATTAAAAAGGCAGATGGTAGCCCATTCATTGGTATGTTTCACTGACTTAAATGCCTAATGTCCTACAATTCCAGGGGAAGTATGGCCTGGTGACTGCGTTTTCCCGGATTTCACCAGTGAAAGAATCCGCACATGGTGGGCTAGATTAGTAAGGGATTTCATCTCCAACGGCGTTGATGGAATATGGAATGATATGAACGAGCCTGCTATGACAGTATATGCTCTTATCACAATTCATTTATTCTTTGCCATCTTATTTTATATTTCCTTATGCAAATGGAAGTGATGGTGTTAACTTGCAGACTACTACCAAAACAATGCCTGAGAGCAATATACATAGAGGAGATACTGATATTGGTGGTGTCCAGAATCATTCTTACTATCATAATGTAATGTCTCTTTCGCTTTGGCAATAAAAAGAAACTGGCAATACAAGTTTTTTATATGTGTTCATGCTTTAATGTTTATGATTTTCAGGTTTATGGAATGCTAATGGCAAGATCTACTTATGAAGGAATGGTGATGTCCAATGCAGAAAAACGGCCATTCGTTCTTACACGAGCTGGTTTCATAGGAAGCCAGCGATATGCTGCAACATGGACTGGTGATAATCTCTCAAACTGGGAGCATTTGCACATGAGTCTATCAATGGTTCTTC